ATGTTTCATCAAACAGAAATCGTCTTCTAACTTATTTTTTGATTCCAGGTATTTGCTGTCTCGTTGTCCAGTGACTTAGCTGCTAGTAGTTCCTACTTCACGATAACAGGATAAGCATAGCCGGAGCCAAAGGTATCAACAGACAGTTAATGTGACTGCTTTTACAGAAGGATTGTGTATCCACTTCAAATGTGGCACTTTCAGTCTTCGCTACAATCACAGATTCACAGATAAACCACTCAATTCTGAAGCACTACATAATCGCCTAATCAATTTTAGATACTCTACCCAAATGGTATGCAAAGACTCTTAAAAATGTACAATCGACTTGTTCTTACATAGTAAATGATTAGAATTATTTTTTGAAAATTTTTGAAAAATTAAATTGGTTTTATAAAATTTTTCAGGGGCGTTTTTAAAAAGGGTCCGCAGAAATTTTGTTCAACCCTGAAAAGTTTCGCAGTGCGTGGCTGCACACCTATCCCAAAAAATTTTTGTCCTTCCTTCAAACGAGAATCCTGGGTAAGCCACTGATACACACCAATACCAATGAAATAAAAACTGAATTGAAGATGCTCATCGAAGAGTGATAAAAGCAATGATCGTTTCACTTAAAAACTTCTCCTTCTGCAATTGGAGGTTTACGAAAGTTGAAGAGCCGATGCCTTGCAGTTCCTCACCCTGAATGTCGAAGGCCAACACTGACTTCAGCACGTCAAAAAGATCGAGCCGAGTTCGCATCAAATTAGACGAGAACTGCACAACAACTCCCATCGTCAAGACCATGCGAATCAGGGTTTTCTCATGAGCTGCCATTCTAAAATTTAATCGGATTATTCTGAAATATCGCGACATGCACTTACTCTTCAGTATCTTTGTCAAAACTCTCGAAGTTAAGCAGCGATTCCTTAATTTTGGTGTAACAAGTGTCCAAAACTAAGTGCCCAAACTCGGCGAGTGCTGAACTTCCTAAATTTCGAATTTGTATATAAAACAATGCGTGATCAAGAGCAAACCTGTGCCTTCTTCTCCTATCGCATCCATCATTACCGCTAGACAGTGATAAACAGATGAGATATGAGATGTATGAACGCTTAAAAGAAGTTTGTA